ACCGGTAGGTGACTCGAAGATGTCGGCGAACTCGTCCAGCAACCGCACCACACGGGGGTCCGAAGACAAGTCCGTGGGTGAAGAGTCGGCTACCGCTCAACGCGCAAACCGTCAAGAATGTGGGGCCTCTTCCTCACATCGACGATCTTCTTGAGCGATTGGGTGGCGCAAAGTATTTTTCTAAGTTGGATTTGAAATCGGGATATCATCAAGTCCCGATCCGACCGAATGATCGCTACAAATCCGCGTTCAAGACGCGCTACGGGCATTTTGAGTGGGTGGTCATGCCTTTTGGCCTCACCAACGCCCCGACGACCTTTCAAGCGGCAATGACCAACGAGTTCCGTGCAATGTTGGACCAGTTCGTGCTGGTCTACTTAGACGATATTCTCGTCTATAGTCGAACATTGGAGGATCATCTTGGGCATCTTCGACGAGTGTTGGAGACGCTCCGCCGCGCCAAGTACAAGGCCGACCACAACAAGTGCAAATTTGTCTGGCAAGAGTTGGAATACTTGGGCCATTTTGTCACATCGGAGGGCATCAGTCCACTATCGGACAAGATTCAAGCCATCCAAGAGTGGACGGAGCCTCGGAACGTCACGGATGTCTGTTCGTTCCTTGGCCTCGTCGGCTACTATCAGCATTTCATCAAAGTCTACTCGAAGATCGCGGCCCACTTGACCAAGCTTCAATGCGAGAATCGGCCGTTTGACTTCGGAGAGGAAGCGCGAGAATCATTCTTGGCTCTCAAAGCCGCGCTATTATCTGCGGAGGTCTTGCGCATATACGACCCGCTTTTGCCTACGCGCGTCACTACGGATGCGTCCAACTATGGCATTGGTGCCGTCCTCGAGCAACATGATGGCGTGGACTGGCACCCGGTCGAGTATTTCAGCAAGAAAGTGCCGGTCGTACACTCCATTGACAATGCACGCAAGAAGGAGCTCCTCGCCTTCGTCCACGCGCTCAAGCGGTGGCGGCACTTCCTCCTTGGTCGAAGCCAATTCCGATGGGTAACGGACAACAATCCGTTGGTATTCTATAAGTCCCAAGACACCGTCAACAGCACCATCGCTCGATGGATGGCTTTCATCGACCAGTTCGACTTCTTTCCTGATCACATTCCGGGGAAGTCGAACCGTTTTGCGGATGCTCTTTCACGACGTCCGGATCATTGTACCGCGGTCTACTCAACCTTCGAGATCGACGACGACCTGCAGAACAGCTTCATCCGCGGCTACCAAGCCGACCTCGAGTTTCGCGACAAGTACAGAAATTGCTCCTCTCCTAATCCGACGCCTTCTCACTACCGGATCCAAGAAGGGTACTTGCTTGTCCACAAGCAGGGGAAGGACCTTCTTTGTGTACCGAGTGATCCTCACTTGCGTACACGGCTTCTTGGCGAGTTCCACGATGCTCCCACCACTGGACACCTTGAAGTCAATCGCACGATTGGCGGACTTCGCGAGCGATTTTGGTGGCCCGGCCTTCTCGGCGACGTCACGCGCTGTTGCGAGTCATGCGAGGTTTGTCAACGCTGCAAATCTCGCAACCATCGTTCGTACGGCGAGTTACGACCATTACCCGTCTCGTTGAGGCGAAGGGAAGCGATTGCCATGCACATTACCGGCCCGTTCCCCAAGCACAAGACCGGAGTGGATGGGATTCTCATGGTGGTCGACCGACTCACCAAGTTCGCCATGTTTTTGCCTTGTCGCTATCATGCCAAGGCACCGGAGTTGGCCGAGGTTCTCTACGCCGGTTGGATTCGAACCAAGGGTTACCCCAATGAAATCGTTTGTGACCGCGACACTAGGTTCATGTCCGATTTTTGGTTGGCGCTCATCAAGCGATGGGGCTCATCTCTCAAGCCCAGTTCAGCTCGCCACACTCAGACCGATGGCCAGACGGAGAGGGCGCATCAGACCGCACAGGTTCTCCTTCGCACTCTCATCTGTCCTGACCAGAAGGACTGGGTTGAGCGGCTGGCGGATCTTGAGTTGGCCTACAACTCTTCCATCCACCTGGGTATCGGGATATCGCCTTTCGAGTTCGAGCACGGCTCGCCGGTCACTTCGCTGTTGGACACCATCACGCCACGAACGGCCGAGAGCGACGACCACCTTCTTTTCTTGCGTCGGATGCATGAGCTACTTGTCAAGGCACGCGACGAGATGGCCAAGACGCAGCAACGCATGAGCCAGCAGGCCCATCGCCAGCGTCTTCCTTGCCCATTCCGCGCCGGCGATCTCGTTTGGGTCTCCGCCGCGGAGTTCAGCCTTGAACAAGACATCTCGCAAGCTCCTCCCGAAATGGATGGGGCCTTGGCCGATCGTATCACCCGCTGGAGACACACCCGAGGGACCTTCCTTCACGATTCAGGTGCCCGCCCACTTGCCCGTCTACCCAGTCTTTTATTGCTCCAAGTTGGCTCTTTACACGCCAGCAGAACATGACGATTTTCCCGGGAGACGTTCGCAAGACCCACCCTCTATGGACGGTTTTCAGGAGGTCGACGACATCATCTCCCAGCGACGCTACGGCAACAGGCCAACCAAATATTTGGTGCATTTTGCATACTTCACACACCGAGCTGACCGTTGGTTGACCCGTGCGGAACTTCAAGCAACAGCTCCAGACGTTCTCGCACGCTATGAACGCAAGATGCAAGGCAAGCCGGTCTCTTCGGCTCCACGCCGCGCCCTCGTCCAGGTTCCACCTTCAGATCGTCGGCTTCGCCCTCGCCCCGGCTTGACTTCATAAGGAGGGGGGGGGTGTTACATGCTGCGCCTGCACACGAGGGCCATTTTCCAGGCCCTGCGTCCCTCAGGCCGAAAGCCTGAAGTTCAGGCTGAAAGCCTGAAAACCAGGGCCTACAGGTCCCATGACCAGTCAGCTCGAAAGCCTGGAAAACAGAGGCCTACAGACCCTGTGTCGTTTCAGACTAAAAATGGCAGCAGCCTTTTTAGCCTGAAACGAAGGGCCATTTTCGGTCGTTCATCAGAACGACCGGCCCTGAAACTCAGGCACCGAACCAGGGTTTCGGGAACAGGCTATTATTAGCCTGTTCCCGCGACAGCCTCAGCAGATGCTGCAGCTCCAGCCCCTGGCACACTTCAGCATTGGCAAGAGCAGCCTCCTCGGCCTGGCTCGCCCTGCAGGCTGTCAGGAGGCAGGCCGAGGTAGTACATAGGGACTTCCCATGCACTTCACGGGCAGGCAGGAGGCAGTCAGTAGTCTTCAGGATTCGGCAGTAGCACTCTGGAGGGAGCGCTGCAGGAGTAGTAGTAGCGTTAGCATTAGTATTCAGCGCTGGGCGCCAGTAGGTAGCTGTAGTCTTCAGCGCTGGGCGCCATAGCTAGGATAGCACTAGAGAGAGAGAGATTGGGCGGAGGCCAGAGGTACTTACCTGCAGCGCTGTTGCTCCAGCTTCGTCTTCGAGGTACCTGCAGCACAGCGCCAACTTCACAGGTTAGTACCTGGCTCGTGACAGAGAGAGAGAGTTCTTCTTCTTCCTCTTCTCAGTCCACCATCTCCCTGTCACCCTCTCATTATCTGAGTTTACTGCATCAGCAGACTACGAGAGAGAGAGAGAGAGAGAGAGAGAGAGAGAGAGAGAGAGAGAGCTTGGTGATATTGGATCCAGACTTGACTTTTGGGCTTCAGACATTTCGATGAGGGATTATTTGGGACTTGTGACAAAGACTTGGTGTTAACGACATTCCCATCTCTGCCCCTCCTCTTCGTCTGATCCCCTCCTCTTCGTCCGTGTATGTCTGGACCTGGCACTTGCTTCCTGTGTATAGCGCCAGGCTCCTTCACACCTTGTGAGGAGTATGACGTATGTTTGGTCTGCGTTAAACATTGATTGGGCTAGTCATTAGCATCCTAGCATTCTGCTTCGCTATCTTGTACTACATGAATGAGGTCAGTCCCGGTCAGGTCAGGATTTGTATCTAAGTCTTCCCTGTGTTATTCAGCACCATTTTGTATGTATCAGAATGCACATTGCTTGTTGAGATTGTACTTACACTGCATTGTCCATTCAGTCCTTTTTATCACATTGCGGATCCTCGGTTTCTATGTACATCGCCCAACTGGGCATGTAACACCGTCGTTGTCGATGTTGTCGTTGTTGTGGTTGTTGGCGTTGGCGTTGTTGCTGCTGATACTTGTTATTTTGCTGTGGCGGCAGCGCCAGTGATGGCATTGTCCTTTGCTGCTATTTTCTCTTCTGCTTTTGCTGCTGTTTGTAATGGTTGTTGTTGCTGTTCAGAAGAAGAAGAAGAAGAAGAAGGAGAAGAATATGAGGACGAAGAAAGAGAAGAAGAAGATGCCTTCTCCTGCCCTTCTTCTTCTTCTTCTTCCTCTTCTTCTTCTTTCGTTCGCTTCTCCTCTTCCTCTTCTTCTTCTCCTCCTCTCCTTCTCCGGTCCTCGCCTTCTCCTCCTCTTCATTTTCTCCGCTCCTCTCCTTCTCCTCCTCCTCTCCTTCTCCTTCTCCACTCCTCTCCTTCTTCTCCTCCTCTCCTTCTGCGCTCCTCTCCTTCTCCTCCTCCTCTCCTTCGTAGTATCGCCATTGTTGCTTTCATATTTATCATTTGTCTCAGGTGTGAAAAAGCTATTGATCATCATCATCGTAATCATCGTCATCAGCCCCACCATTTCTGCCACCTGCCCCCATGCTCTTTTCTCAACCCCAACCTGGGGATAGAAACAGGATTCCTGAGGATCTCACCCCTTCTCAGCCTGCCTTCAACAAACAAATCCCAAAGTTCAGCCTGAAGCGTTGAATCGAACTGTGAAACAGGACTCCAAGTGGTGGGCGGAAAATGCTTGCTGTTGGCGTCGACTGCTGGGGCCTGTGCAACCCTGTCAATGACACAAGTTATGAACTCTGTAATCAATGTTCAGCAAAGCCTGTTGGTTTCTCTGAAGGTAATTCATGGCCTCCTGGTGTCCAACCAGAGAAACGGGACTCATGGAAGGCAATGGCCTGTTTAAAATTCAAATCCAGTTTGACAGCTGGATCCTTGAAGATGGACACCAAACCCCACGGACTTTTGAATCAATGCTCATGGCCTCGTGGTCTCTGTTCAATGAAAACGCGGTCATGCAAGGCTATGGTTGGTTTAAATAGCGTCCTCAAAGAGTGACACAAATCCTCGTGGTCATCAGTTAAATCTGTGATGCTCAGATTGACTTTTCAGAACGGCCCACTCCGAAAAGAAAATGGTCTGCCATCATCATAGCTGTTGGTTGGCTCAAGTCGCTAAGCGCCCAAGTGCCCAAGTGTCCTTCAGTGTGGCAATCTTATGTGTGTGCTAAGTTTGCTGAAGTGGCGATTCAGTACGTAAATGGCCGTGGGTCTTGACCATGCATGTGGACTGAAGTATCTCTAGTGCTAAGAAGTTGTGTTTCTTTGATGGATATGACAACAAGCTTGCTGGTACTGTCATGTTTGATCGGGGTGTTTTGTAACTGTAGCTGAAGCCAGATGCTGCAGGGCCAATTTTATGCTTTGTAGGTCCGCCTGGTGTTGGGAAGACGTCACTTGCATCCTCAATAGCCGAAGTTCTCGGGAGGAAGTTTGTTCGAATATCCTTGGGAGGGGTGAGGGATGAGGCTGACATCCGTGGCCACCGACGCACGTACATCAGCAGCTACCCTGGTCGACTGATTGATGGAATCAAGGTGAGCATGGTTTTCAAACTTTTCTTCTGTTTTGTTCGTTTTTTGTGAGGTGAGCATGGTTTTCTAACTTTTTTCTCGTGTTTCGTTACTCATATCAAGTTGTTTTTCTCAGAGTCCTCCACAGTACTATCTTAACCCCAAAACAATACCCAGGCCAGGGTTGCACACCTGCAGATTGCCTAACCCGACCGCCGACCGTTTTGCAACCTACTGGTATGGCCGACCAGTCAGCGGTCTGGTGACCAGTCAGTAAACAGCCATCCACTGACATTTTTCAAAAATCTGACTATGGGGCTGTACTGCGCTTGCTGAGTACCTGTCTCTTATACACATCTAGATGTGTATAAGAGACAGGTGGGATATAGGGGTGGTATAGGGGGTATTGTGGGGGTTATGAGGATGTTGGGGGGCGGCTTAGGGGTGTTGGGGGGGGGTATGGGGGTGTTGGTGGGGTTATTGGGGGTTATGGACTCCCCAATTTTTTATATTTTTTACTTTTTTTTGCGGGGTGCCGCCGACTGTCAAGGGGTGCTGACCGTCGGCCTGTGCAACTCTGACCCAGGCATTATATTTGAAAGGATCTCACTGCTCTAGCCCTGGTCCTAGCCCCAGCTCCCAGTTCCGTCGTCAGTCCCAGTCGTGTAGTGTACAATATTCATGAATCCCTAGGTATCTTAGATTGAATAGGTCATGGTAGGGAATTCCTGGTAGGTAACTGTTATGGGTCAGAAGAAGTCGGTAGAAGTCATAGGGCCAGTTGACAGTCGCTCGAGAAGGCAGCAAAGTGCCAGGAAATCTACAAACTTCAAGAAGCAACAAAACATCAGCAGGAAGTTATCAACGACGTCCTCTCGGGTCTCTCAACCATAATGGGGAGAAGTGTCAGAGTGCGTGCTCGATGTACCTTGCTTGACTTGCAAGTGGAATAGCAACCGGACTGACACGCCCCAGAATGGACAAGGAGCCAGAGCCATAAGGCTCTGTTTTTTTTTGGGAAAACTAGGGCGCTTCGCGGTTTCAGTTTGAAAATGCGCTTCAGTCAAGATTTTGCAAATGTAGTGTCAAAGTGAGGAAAACCGTGAATGTATACAACCTAGCTTTAGGGTCCGGTGGGGATGTGTTGTATTCGAGGGATGCCTGAAGTGGATTTTAAACTGAAATCGTGACTGCGGTCTAGTTACCCCGTTTTTATTTCTTTTAAACATCAGCAGGGTAGCAGACCCAGAACCGGTGACTGCAGTCTGGAAGGCGAATCGTCAAGTACAAAAGCCCACAACCTGTTTTCACTTGCGATGAGTCCATGCGGAAACTCTGATGTGCTATTTGGGGATACTTCGAAGTGTGCTGTGCGCGCTACTGCGACTTGTGCTGTTGCCTTGGCTCTGGCTGGTAGTAGTATTCTACGGTGCTGGGTGCGTTAAGGGAGTACCCATTAGTCAGGTCGAGTGCGGGGTGGTGAGGGAGATACTCAATAGGGGTATTCGGAGAGGAGAGAGACCTTGGACAGAAAGTTGGAGAGAAGTAAGGTTCACAGAGGGTAGCAACCTTCCCTGTGAGAACTGGCTCGTTGGCAACCAATGACCATATAATTGAGTTGATTGGGTGTTATTATAACTTATTAGTACTTATTATCTTCGAGTTACATCTCACCTGTACGCCGATGCGCATACGTCATCTTCTCTGTGCATGGAGTGAAAGCATCATATATGGTTAGTCTCAAAGCATAGTCAACTTATCTGTTTTTTTTTTTTTTTTTGGGTTTGGTGCGGTTGCTGGGGAACGAACCGGGTCTTCCTGCATGACAGGCAGGGATACTTAACACTATACTACAAAAATTTGGGCCATTTCTCAATTTATGCGTGTATCACCCTTGTGCAGGGGCCATGCTAATCTATCTTCTGATTCTTCTCTGTATCATTCCAATTTTAAAGGATGTCCCGAAGGACAGTCAACTTATCGTTAAAAAGTCGTATATGTTGTTTTACTCAGTGTTTTTTACTTCTTTTTTCAATATCCCCCTTTTTGAATGCCCTGTAGGCGTGGGGAAGGGTGTATGCATGGGGGTTGAAGGGGGGGGGGGGGGGGRAAYTTAAAACCCSGAGGGGGGGGGTTTTWGRKRRTTTTTTTTTTTTTTTTTTTTTTAACTTCCCTTTTTTTGKGGGGGGGGGGGGGGGGGGGGGGGGGGGTGGGGGGGGGGGGGGGGGGGGGGGGGGGGGGGTAACTTCAAACTCCGAAGGGGTGTGATTTAGCTAGATTTTTCTGTTTTGTTTTTCAGTAAGGAAGTCTGAAATGATCCTCAGCCAAAAGTGGTTTGCAACTTTGCATTGCAATTCTACAGACAAAAAAGGCAGAATTTTCTGTTTTTTTTTTTTTTTTTTAGGGGTCGTCAACGAAGTTGCTACCACTTCACTGAATATTACACTCAGGTGTCGTTAATGAAGAAAACTCCTACATAACACCCGGGCATTATTTTCAGGTTAAGACAGTAGTTTACCTTTTCAGCTTTCGTGAGTGTCGTGCTGTACCCACAGTACTCTTGCATTTTCATTTCTTAACTGCAAACTTCAACTGCCAGTTTGTGGCTTCACAATCTTCCTCCGAATGAAGCTCAGAGGCATGACAAATATTGTGGGCATATCATACATGCGGCGCATCGCGCACGTGCGGCGCACCACGCATCGTGCATGATGCGGGCGCACTGCATGCGCTGCACCTCTAAAAACGGTGGTCGAAAAAGGAAAAAAAAGTTGTGAGGGGCGGTAGTAGATCCGGCCCCCTGCTCGCGTAAAATAAGAAACGGGCAGTCTATTTTTTTTTGGAGGCCGCACGTTGGCGTGAAAGCTTTTAGTAAGTTCCTGTAGTCCATGTAACACTCCGTGTGTATGATAGGGTTCTTGCAGTCTGTATGGTAGGGCTCTTGCAGGCCAGATTCAGTCATGATGAGGGTTGCGATCTCTCAAACTTTGAACCGTTTGTTTCTTATTACTCTTGAAGTAGAAAACGACGAAACTGACAGCCCTTTTTCCTGGAGTTTTTTCTAATAATAAAAAGAAAAGAATGTAAAGGAAGAAAATGAGAATGACTTACCAGTCATCAGAATCCTTCAGAGGAGGCATCAACTGTGAGAAAGGGGAACGGATCTTCAGCTAGAACATCGGAAAGATACATCGCCCTGATTTTTCTCTTTTGATCATGTGGTGAGTGGTGGTGTGAAGCCCCGGCGCGTCCAACCTGTCAGAACCTCAACAGGACTATTCACCAATGGGCCGACAGGCCTCGCTCCACTACTCTCGACATGCACAAAAGACAAAATATGGGAATGTATCTTTCCATCTTCAAGCGGAGGATTCAGTGTCATTCGTCCAGAGATTCTCCGGACAAAAAAGAAGAAAGGGTCCAGAGATAGGTTATGTGCTTACCTGAGGCCTGACACTAGCACTTCCAGAAAATTGCAGAAATGTATCTGACAGCACTTACGGCCAGACTTGGACGAATCTGACCGCAATCACGTCCAGAGCTGAGTAGAAAAGGTCTAAGTGTACAGCATATGCACACTTGGACTTTTTCTACTAAACTCTGGACGTGACAGTGGTCAGATTCGTCCAAGCGTCGGATGGCATACGTTCTACATCAGCAAGCGCCACCAAAACCATCTGTTGTGGATGCGTGCTGAGGTCAAACGGCTCTCTCTCTCTCTCTCTCTCTCTCTCTCTCTCTCTCTCTCTCTCTCTCTCTCTCTCTCTCTCTCTC